CAATGAAACCACCCCTTATTATGGTTTCCCCCCTCCCCCCTAGGATCTCTCCTTTGGACACTTATTTCTCTCCCCATATAGACAGAAAGCAGTTTAAAAGTTTGAGAGCTCCTGCACTAGAGTACTGTATAGTTCACATTTTTATCCTTAATACACTTGTAACCTCTATCAATTATTTATTAATGCTTTATAAAATATTTATAAAATGGAACCTTGCCACAAAGCAATTTGCCATCTTGGCTGTTGTTAAAACATTTCACATATTAATTGAAGCAAATGTCAAGTGCAGGGAGCCAGGCAACCAATGTATGCCTTTTTCCCTTGTTGCACAGTTATAGATTCATTTATATCTTATTTTCTATATTCAGTTATTCATTATTGCTTATAAGACAATATTGCTTATAAGACAACTTTTGAAATACTCAGAGCTATAGATCCATAGCTGAGCTGAGCTTAAAATGCAATGTGGAATTTATGATTAAACATATTCGGATGGCCTCATTTTTCATACCCGTATATTAATACTGTATCTAACGGCAATTCTGACGTTCATGCAGAAACAAAGATGTTGCCCTGCTAGGCCTATAGTACTTACAGAATAACAAGCATAGTAATCCAGATCCTTTGAGAGCTGATATGGCATAGTGGATAGAGTGTTGGACTAGGATCCTGGGAAATCTGGATTCAAATTGCCACTTCTACCCTGGAAGCTTGCTGGGTGACCCTGGGCCCATCACATACTATCAATCTGATCTACCTCTCAGGGTTGTTGTTCTGAGAAAATGGAGGAGGGAGAGTGATGTTCTAAGCAGCTTTGAGCTCCAACTGGGGGGGGATCAGGAAAGAGAGAGATTAGGGTTGTCGAACCCCTGATGGGGGGCAGAGATTTACCCGCTTTCTGGCACTTCAATCCTCCACCAGCCAGGTGGCTGGCAGGGGAGTCCTGCCCCTAAAGAGCCCTGTCACGCCCAACGTGCCCAGCGCAGTAATGTCACCTAGAGATGTCATCATCATGCCAGGCAAATTGTGTTTGGATGCTCTGGCAGTTGGGTAAAACCTCTATGGTGACCATAGGGCTGCACTGGAGCCCCCTGCCAGCACTCAGGTAAGACCTGGTGCTAGACAGACAGACAGATGGATGGATGGATACAAATGCAATGCTTATGCTGAGCAGGTCTACCAGTATTTTACATTTTCATAAAAGCAGGTGCCTGCTCTCCTGTCCAGTGAGAAAGGCCAGGGCCATATTTTGTGATGTTGTGGATCTTACAGGAGCTCAGAACAAGGTAAAAGAGCTCTGCATTCCGCCAGTAAGATGTGGAATGATGCAATCCTCAGGGTTCCAATCTGACTCAACATTCAGCAAGGCTCCACAGGGTGCACTGCCAGATGACAAATCCATTTACTCGTAGTTAAATTATACCACAGAATGGTATGAGTTGGCCTATCAAGGATGAAAATTAAACCTGAGCTGTAGCAGTTTTTCTAGTCTGTTTTTACTTTTATTACCTAATTTTCTTTCTCATGACATTTACTTTCATTACCTCAATTTTTCAGGCCCTTTTCAACTGGCCCCATCAACATTTCATCTATGTTATGCAGACCCTATAACTGGGGTGTCAAACATAAGGCCCGGGGGCCAGAACTGGCCCATCCAAGCTCTTATGCAGCCCACAAGCAACTAGTGCAAGGGAGGGAACAGGAGACTGCTCAGGGGGGAGTGGGCAGAGCCATTCTGATTGTGGCTCCAGCCTGACAGAACAACCTCGTCTGCAGCAGTCAAGTAGTGTGGGAGCATCCGCCCAGTGCCGCACCACTGGCTCTCCAGTCCACCCATATGGGTTTTCGTTTGCACCCCTCTCCCAGCCCATTGGGCCTTGCAGTGAGGATACAACAACTTGGAGCCTACCAGCTGCTGTCCTTTATACAGTTTATATCTCTGGTACCTGGCATTACGTTTCATGGCACACATGGCCCGGCCCAGCAAAGTGACATTTATGTCAGATCTGGCCCTCATAGCAAATGAGTTCAACACCTCTGTCCTACAAGTTATTAGATAAATGCCCTGAAAGCTGGTTTTATGATTCCAGAGCATATTGCAATCCATTAGATAGCCCTCAGGACACAGCCATGGAAGAAAACTCAGGAGCCTATACATTCTCGAAGCATACTTGAGGAAGCTTGAGGATGCTCCTGGTTTGCTGAACTTAAGTTCAAGCAAAATCTATTTAAATACTTTATCTAAACCCACCTCAAACCTGCATTAGAGGCCCTGCCCCTGCAGACATATGGGCTAGAGAATGGGTTTATCTTAAATATAGAATGGGACTGTTGCCTAAGCTTTAGATCAGGTTGTGGTCACACAGGCTCAGGAATCACACTTTTTCCTTGCTCCAAAAGCTTCAGGAGCTTTTCTGAACTGTGCCTGTAGGCTAAATTAGGAACTGCTCAGTTCCCCCAAAGCCTTAAAAGCTAGCCTTTGGGAGGGCTTGCCCAACTTTGGGCTGTGGTGAGTGTTGCAGACTCAAATAAAAGCTGAGGAATACTTTGGTTTTTCTTATGATTTGCTGAAGCTTTCCATCATCAGACATGCAAGTTTCAACTCAAAACTAAAATCTGGCTTGGCTGCACTGGAAATAGCTTCACTTACGGCAGTCAGAGTTAAAATCCACTAAGGATATGAGCCACTTGTAATACTAATGTAGCCATTTAGAGCCTCTTGTATGCAAACCTTTTTTTCCATGATAGTGTTCTGTGTACACAAGAGCCCTTTCCCTTGTGCACACTGAGTGTTTCCATCTCATAGAAATGAATGCTGGTCAAGTCTTTTCTCTTGAAATAAACATTGAAGCCACAGAAGTAGGAACATTGTCAGCTATACACTATCCACTAAATTGTTTCCTTGTTTGTTGACCTCCCTGGAGTTGACATACAGAGGGAACAAACAGTTGCTCTGCCCGCTACTCCAAACATCTGTAGTATAGCTAGGGTTGCCAGTCTCCAGGTGGTGGCTGGAGATCTCCTGGGATTACAACTGATCTCCAGGTGACAGAGATAAATTCTCCTGGAGAAAATGGCCACTTTGGAATGTGGGCTCTCTGGCATTTAGCCCCTTCCCTCCCCAAACCCTTCCCTCCTCAGGCTTCACCCCCAAAATCTCCAGGTATTTCCCAATCCAGAGCTGGCAACCCTAAGCATCGCCCAGACAGAGTTCACTTGCCTCTGAAAGATAACTCAGAACAGACCCAGCAAGTTCTGCTGCTGTTGGCTCCCCCCACACACACACACACACACAGAGATACTCTTTGTCTTGGATCTCCCTTGGCAAACAGTGTGTCAGCGTGATCTCCTTCATCCTATTGAATAAAGCCAACACCTAAATTGTCCAGTATAATCAAACACCAAATAAGATTAATTTTAGCACATTTTACAACTCCCCCCTCCAGTTTGTGACTGTGCTAAATCTACTTTAATACACTACTTTTTATTACCAGGGCTTTCAGATATCACAAGGATTTACAAAAGGATCAGCATGCTCACACGAAAGAAACAAAACTTGCACAGATGTAGTTTTCTGCCTTAAAGAAGAAGCAACTTTTTGTTGAATTGGAATTGTAAATTCATCCTCAACGTGGAAAGAGCACAATATTGACATGCCCCCAAAGTATCAGCAGTTCCTGCTACAGCTTCAAGGCAGCTGTTTCTCAGAACAGCATTTGAAACACAGATGTTGAACAGAAAACATACGGCAGCCACTCTAGGGAAGGTCTTTTATATCACTGTAGACATTATTAGAGTCCACTAAAATGCGTTCAGTCAGGGGTATGCACAGGGGTATGTAACTAACAGTGTTTTGGCCGCAAAAAATCCTTAGTGCTCAAAAGCAATGGATGTAAAGAATAAGAAATGAACCCACTGCTCTGGTATTTTACCAGGTGTTGTTGTTTTTTTGTCACTAATAAGCAGAGCCTAGGCTGTGCCTGCACTGTACATGTATTGCCTACCAGATGATCAGCACTGTCAGACTTGATAGCATCAGTTGCTTGTTAGGTGTTGTAGGAAGCAGGAGCTGGTTTCAGACAGTTCTTCGGCCGCTGTCTCTCTCACATGATATTTATTTCATATTTTCACCCTGCTTTCAGCCAACCCCCCCTCCCCTGCCACCCAACTTCCAAAGTGGTTTATAGCAATTTAAAAATTAATGCAGAAACTGGTAGCCAGAGATGACGGTGCTGATCAGACTGAGGGTGGGTGGGATTTTGCCTCAGGGGCAACTGCAAGAGTACTGTCTTCCGCAGTGCTGAGTTACCTTCACAGGGGTCTTCACAAATTTCCTGAATATCAACAATAAAAACAGTGGGGAAGTATGAATGATATGTGGGAATTATGAGATTTGGAGAAGCTATTTCTGACAAGAGATTCTTTCTCTTTGCATGACTGAGCACACGTGCAGCTTTCCTTTCTCTAGATATTCCTTTGTACTGTATGTGCCATCTGTTGGCAGACTCTGTTGTCAGTGAAAATACATGAGACAGCCACAGTGCCTTGGGAAATAGCTTTCGGCAATAAGTGTTATCTTACAAAATGTTTGGAAAAATCATAGAATACGGTTGCATATAAACAATTTTTGAAAGCAGACAGCAAAGTGATGAGGACTGGGAGCGACTGCTATGACATTTTGCACTATGGGCCCCCACCTGCACTATACATTTGTTTGTTCCTGCTTTGAAACAAAACGGGGTCAAGACAGTGAACATTTTGAAAACTGGATTAGGAATTCAGATTAAAATTTAAACGTCAGTGTTCAGATCTGCAATGTGAAATTAGATTTTTATGTCCATCCTTGCTTCACTTTGCATACAGATAACAACCTTATCTAATTACATCAGAACCTTGCTTCACTTTGCATACAGTATGGATCCAGATAACAACCTTATCTAATTACATCAGCAGATTGAAACTAATTCCTTGATTTCTTTTTTTCGTCTTCTTTTTCACAGGAATCAGATCTTATTTTGACTTTCAATATCTCAATGCACCGTTCTTGGTGGATGGAGAATGGGCCTGGCTGCACAGTGACATCTGTGACCCCAGCCCCGGACTGGGCCCCAGAGGACCATCGCTACATCACTGTCTCAGGGTGTGTTCTTGAATACCAATACATAGAAGTGGCTCACAGTTCCCTACAGATCTTTCTGGCAGTAAGTATACAGCTGATCATTCTTTTGATGTAGAATAACCAAGGCAGCTGCCTACTCCATGATCATTCTTTTGATGTAGAATAACCAACGGCAGTGCAATGTAACAACTTTTTAATTTAATTTTTTTTAATTGACTGGTTGTTGTCAATATAGGATCATTAAAAATGGCTTTTCTCCCTAACTGCACTTTTGCAGGTTGATCATTCCTTAATTATACTGATCTCTCAGATGATGACTCCCAATAATGGCTCTTGGGCTGTAAATTAAGAGGTAAGAAGAGCTTAGGGATATGCTCAACAAGTGGAAATGTTGGGTTTAACAGAAAAGAACTTAAACAAGAATGGATTTGGTATCCTAGCAGGTTAAAGAACTGAAAACTGCACAGTTGTGCCTCCCATTGAGCACAATGCAATGGAAATGGGAGGGGATCATTAGAAAGATCTACTGCAGGATTGTGCCTCAGAGTTGCACTCCAACAAGTTTAAAACACACATTCTACAAGTTACAGTAACATATTTAGGGTTTGTTTTGCCCAAACAGAATCCCAGGGCAGGGAGAACAATTTAGAAAATGTGGTTATCTACTTGGTGTAGGGGTGGAGGGATTCAAAGGTACCATAGCAAAGCTTGGAAGAAAAGGGCTGGCTGCGTGCATGCCATTGTGTGTGTGTAGGTATTCCCTAAGGTTTATTTCAAAATATGTTGACTGGCCCTTCTTTGATATTAGACAATGCAGAACGAGCTCTAAAACATATAGGAAACAAGCTTCAGCGCAACATCTCCCCATGAGGTAAACCCATGAATATGTTTCAGGTGTCTCAGATATGAAAAACTATATAATTCTTAGAACGCAAATCATGAAGAAGCTACAGATATCCAATTATATCTTGAAAAATATATCATCAAATGTGATATAAGTAGCAGAAACTACAGATCAAGAGTTGGATCTATTGAACCACTTGTGCAAGGACTGCAGATCTTCCCCTATTTTTTAGGGTTGCCAAATCTCCCTTACCTTCTCGGCGGGGGATCCCTGGCCATCTCCCGGTGCGCGCGCCGCATCTACGTCACCCGGATGTGACGGCACACGCTGGGGCAGGGCCCCAGCCATTTGAGGGGGAAACTCTATGTTTTCCCCTCAAATGGCTGTGGCCCCGCCCCAGCGTGTGACATCACATCCGGGTGACGTGCACGCGGGGGTGGGGTTTCCCCCGGGTCCCGATTCCGCGGGGGTGGAAATCAGGGCTTGAAAGCGGGGGGAAATCTGCCCCCCGGGGGCATTTGGCAGCCCTACTATTTTTCCTTCCTCACCCCAGAAGTCCTTTCTGACACTGGGCAAGTTGATTACCAGGGCCATGGGCTGCAGTGAGGAAGGGGAAGGAAGCGAAATCAGTTGTTCCTTCCTCTCCTGTTGCAGACAGTTCCACTGATGGGAAAGGCATGAAGGGTGATTTTGCCCACTCCTTACAGCTGCTGACCAGCCCATGTGACTATTACTTCACGGTCTGGGAATTAACTTTCCCAGAAGGGACTGCTGGGGGTTAGGGGAAGCAGGGAAAATCTACAACCATCAGTGCCTTCTGCTGGGGGGAAAATACTGGATCTAAGCTCAGGCCTCTAGGATAAATATGATGTATCAAAGAGTTATCTAATACACTGGAGAAAATGTAATTAAAATATTAACTACAAATGATTTTTTTTAATTTTAATGTTTTGTGGAGAGACAGGGGATATTAATTTATCTCTTCATTAGCAGCACTTGTTTTTACATGGGGTTGTACACTGTATTTCCCAACAGCCATTGCCAAGCAGATACCAAGACTGGCAACTATTTATATGGGACAGACATGGAAAATATTCTCCTTTTAGAAATCTATAACAGTAGGGTCGATTGGGCCATCAGGACTTTAAAAGTTTTAAGGATTTGTGTAGGTACAGCTCTCTGCTCAAAGCTGTTGCCCACACTCTTTGTCCACCCTGCATAGGGTTGCCAGGTCTCCCCTGGCCCCTCATGGGGGATGTGGGGGTTGGGTTGCCAGATCCAGGTAGGGAAACTCCTGGAGATTTGGGGATGGAGCCTGGGGAGGACAGTGACCTAAGTGGGGTACAGTGCCACAGAGTTCACTCTCAAAGCATCCATTTTCTCCATGGAAACTGATCTCTGTCATCTGAAAAGAAGCTTGAATTCCGGGAGATCCCCAGGTCCCACCTGGAGGTGGCATCAATAATCCCTGCAGTGTGCAGGGCAAAATGTAGTGTTGATCCTTCCAGATGGATTAGTAGGAATGACTGTGCCTTAGATAAGATAAAATAGTGTAGAGCAAATACCCCTAATTATCTGGGTACTCTTTTTCTCAGTCAGGGGCCAAAGCAAGTAAAATGTCTTGTTATTTAAGGATTACCACTTATGTAAACAAGTTTAATTTAAATTACATCTCTCCTACATTTTCTGTGCTAGTTCTTAATGTCTTGGTTGTTTTTTTAAAAGTACTCTTTCATTTTTAGGTGCAGCTTTTCAGTGTTGCAAAACAAATATATATTATATATAGTGTACCACCTGCAGTATGCAGCTGTGCTAAGCAAAGCAACACTGTCAAGATGTTATTTGCTCTGTTTAGGATGAAGTCTGAGGCAAGATGAGATGAATGTAATGTTTCCTTTTACTTGCAGATCAGAAATAGGGTACACACTCAGGTTTCTGCTCTTAGGTTCACACAGCTGAGATGGGATGTTTAAAGCAACATCCATTTCTAGCAAGATACATGGAGGGGACCAACTGGTTTCGGGACAGGGGAGCCATGCAGTCTACAGTTCTAACAAATTAAGGCTTTGATCAGCCGTGCAGTTTGATCCGTTGCTGTTCCATTCCGGATTTAAAAAGCACAATCAGACAGCAACATCTGTCTGTCGTGCCTCAGTCATCTGCATCCTGTTCCTCCCCCCGTTTACTGCATGTTTCTTTAATACCTGTGAAAGCCCGGTCCTTTTGGACTGAGCTGGTTTCAAACCAGATTTTGTGTTAGCTGATTGCTCTGTCGAGCACCCAAGCCGTCAGGCAGGTCTGACTGGTCTCTTGTTTTCCAGCTGCCATTTTTAATTAGTTAGTAATGTGTGCATAATTGCATATTCGCACCTCTCTCTCTCCCTCTGTCTTCCACAGGGGCTTATCAAAACTGTGTTTTCTTTATAAAAACTCTCAAAGAAAGACACCTCTGTGCTTTAGCTTTTTTCTGTGCTTTGGGGAAGAGGTTAACTGAAAATATTAGAGAGGGAGGACTGCAGTGAACTACAAGGGTGTAGAATTTCCAATTTCCCGGGGGGAGCTGGGGCTGGGCCAGAGGCATTGCTGTGCTAGGAGCAAGGGTGGCTCCCGGGGGAGGCTGAGCACTTTCCTGAAAATTTCGGCGGGGGCTGAAGCCCCGCCGCCCCCACAAAGATTACGCCTATGGTGAACTACATATCTCAGCAGGCTCACCAGCACTTGTGCACATGCTCAAAGGACAAACTTTTAAAAAAATTGCTGACAGCCCCATGAACTACATATTCCAGCAGGCTTATCAGTGCTTGTGCGCATGCTCAAAGGACAAACTAAAAATATGGCCAACGACCCCACTCCCTGGTTGCTCTAGCTGCTGTTTTTTGTACTGAAGATGGAAACTCTTCACTCAATTGCAGTTTTAACTACACTGCTGTATTATACAGTATCTCACACTGTTCCCACCATCACCAAAAAAGATTTCCCCGTATATTTACAGCCACTTTATTCTGAGCTCTTGTCTAGCAACATGTTTTGCCTAAGCCATGGAGTCGAATCTGAATAAAATAAAGATCCACCAAATATTCACCAAATGCAAAATAAGATGTACAATATGTACATACAAATTGGCAATGATTCTGCTCTATCTTTGATTCTGCTCTGTCTGTGCAGAGAGAACAAGATACATGGTATCTGATTATATTGTTAATCTATGAATCCCCAAACCTTTTGTGCCTATGGGCACCTTAGCAATTCTGACACAGGGTGGTGGGTTCAGCCACAAAATGACTCCCACAGGAGGATAAGCCACCCACAAAATGGCTTTTGCAGGAGGCAGAACCAATTACAAAATGTCAGGGAATGAGATTATTCATGGCTCTAATAGCAACTCTCCAACATTTCAGACAGAAGCTCTGCTTAATCTGAGCCAGTTCGTACTGGCAAGGCGGGGTATAAATTGGAAGTAAATAAATAAATAAATAATAGAGCACTTTTTAAAAGAAAACATATAGTTTTAAAAAAAATTCTTGCTTACACAAAGCTTAGTGAACATTCTTTTGCTATGGTGGCAGCTGCTGCCAAAGCAATTTTTAAAAAATGTGTACATCTGGTCCCGTCTCCAATGGCCAGTCAGAAGCCCTGATGAGCAAAAGCCTCACCCAATCCTGCCTTCTTTCTAAAAACACTTGGTGGGTTCCACCCACTGACATATGATGGGAAACCCTGGTTTCCAGTATAATTATCTTGACACAAATAGGGATGGGTCATTCCCAGACATATGAGTTTATCCCACCCATCATCTGGAGGCATCTAGCAGACTGTTCCTCCTCAGGTTTACACATCCAGCACCATTCCTTCTCTGAGTATTCTGTTCAGCAAGGTCCTGTTGATTTTTTTTTGGGGGGGGCGGCAGGTACAGCTATTCCTTGTAAATGTCCTGCCATATTGCAGCATGTATGTCATAGTTTTCCCACAAATGGGGGAAGTGTGGTAAGGAACAAGAGGGTTATGCTGGAATTTTGGGAGCAGGGAGTAAAATCATGGTCTTAGATTCTACATAGTTTGTTTGAGAATTTCCCTGCTTTCTTTCATTTCCAGCTGGCATTTCTGCTGTGTTTGCTTCTATAAATAGGAGATATTTAAATGACAGAATCTGCATATATGCCTTTCAATATATTATACCAAGCTCTCCTTAGGAAACTTCATTTGATTTAATTCCTTTTTATCATAAATCACTTTCAGTT